AAAATTCAGAGAATAATATAACAAATGTGGGTGAATTCATCACCCATATTTAACAAGTTTTAACATGGCCATTGTTACTCTGTATATTGTTAAAGGAAAATATTTAATTAAACCCTTCATTTTTACCCCTGCCCATACAAGGATAACCACTGGTGACACTTGGACTGACTGCAAGAACAAGGTCCTCAAGGTAAAAAGTGATGAGATTCAGAGAGGAAGTGAGTGTGGGAGCCAGGTGGCCTCACTCGTTGCCACCAATGATAAGAGCGAGCAGGGAGTACTCACTATGTGCCTGCCACTGTTCTCTTTACATACATTAAATCTCTTAATTCTCAATCCTATGCTGTAGTCACCATTTTATAGATAAGGAAACTAAAGCACCTAAAGTCACACAGCTCATAGAAGCAGAGCTAGGATTTGAAAATAGGCAGTCTGGCTTTAGAGATCATGCACTACACCTTTATATTACCTGTCATAGGAGTGTTAAAAATGGTGAACTTCTGTTTTTCCTCTTCCTCAACCGTTTAAAAAAGTATAGAGCCTTCAGTTTCTCATTTAGAAAAAATTCCCATTTGGGATCTCTGAGGGCCAATTCTGCTTGGTTGTTCTTTCATTCTGCTTCTTGAACCTACAATCAGTTTCCTCCACTTTGAACCAGATTTTGTGTGTGTGCGTATGTGTGTGTGTGCACGTGTGTGTGTGTGTTTATACAGAAAGCTTTAAGCTTGAAATATCTTTCCACTATAAAGGTTCTATTTATTGTTTTCTCAAACGTTATACTAAATATACTCTCCAAGTGACTGTAATGTTTTTTTATCCTTCTATAAAATAGCTAACTATGAATACCTTTTGTATTTGTAGTTTCTAGAAACATTTTGGAATAGCAGCATTCTCTTAAATGACTAATTACCCCAAATCTGATGCCTGTGTAATGCTATCCAGCAAGCAGCTGGCTTCGTATGAAGAGAGGCTAAGAGCTCTTTTTTGTCTTGTTCATTCAAAATCATTTGCTTCTTATTTAATATCTGTAAAGAACGCAGTCACATCATAGTAGAATTTGCTGTTGTAAATTTTGGATTGTTTCCATGGGTTCCGCCTTACATCTGCATGGTGTTTAAAGCCAATGCTTCCTTTCTTTTTGTAGGCAGTTAGGGCCTTTTGCCTCATAATCCAATGTCATGCTGAATGACAGAAAATTGAAGTTGAATTTATTTAACTATAGAGAAGGCCTGCACAGAACAATACACTTATTTAAGAACTCCTTGCCTCAGGAACTGAAGGAGCGGTCTTGTGCAGGTGGCTTAATCTCTCTGGTGCTTATCCTAACTGTGCTCCTTTATTAAGGACAGAAACTGGGCACTCTGCTTCCAAAAACAAAATGACCCTGCTAGTCTACCAGAACCAATAATAAACCAATAGCATGCTTACTCCTCATTCAGAACAGTAAAGAGAAGTTCTGTGTATTTTTTAAAATAATTCTTAGCGCTTCTTTATTAGAGAAAATGTAACCAAAAGTAAAAACAACAACAAAAGAAACAGCCATGAAAATATGTTAACTCTTAATTATATACTGCTGGTCAGTTTACATTATGGATTATTCATGATGAATCTTTTTTTTCTCAATTCTCTGTGGTATCTTCTCTGTTTATATAAAGTGATTTCTTTGTTGACATTACTTGTATTTTCTGTTTCTATTTACTTCACATGGCAGCATTCAGTGGTTTCTGTGTTGTAGAGTAAAACATTTATTTCCTTTCCCTGTTTTGACTCAGAGCTGCTGTAAATACATAGTAAACTTTCTGAAGGAAGTGGCTTCTTCACTCATTGGGCACTGTGAAATAGACTAAGCTGTCTATGCTTATCTTGAACCAGGGAGAAAGGGATATTTGGGGTGGGTATGCAGAGAGAATAATACTGGAAAGTATAGTAGCTTTTCCTTTCTTGCATGGGTCATGATTGTGTAGTTTATTTTCTTTTAAACCTAGTAAATTCTGGAAATATAATGCACAAGTATATTCAAATGTGAGCTTAAGAATGCTTTCCAAAGCAGGGTGCCTGGGTGGCTCAGTCGGTTAAGCCTCCAACTCTTGATTTCAACTCAGGTCATGATCTCAGGGTTGTGAGATTGAGCCCTGCTTTGAGCCCCACTTCAGGTTCCTTGCTCAGTGGGGAGTTGGCTTGAGGTTCTCTCTTTCCCTTTCCCTCTGCCCCTCACCCCTGCGCACTCTCGTGCTCTCTCATGTACACACACACACTCTCTCTCTCAAAAAAAAGAATACTTGCCAATGCTATAAAAATGGGGTTGTAAATTAGCTGCCATTTTTACTATCTACTATTGTAATTATCAGGAAATTGAGAATTAATTGCATAAAATTCACATATCAAGTACCAATTATTTGGTCAAGATAATCAATTCTTCCTCTTAACAATAGCTGTATTTAGAAGTGATAACATGAAATTTATTACATAGGCTCAGACCCATGCTTCATCTAGTTTAAGATTATGTTTTGACAAAAGCACCAAAGGACATTAATAAGAAGGCATACTTGTTCTTTCTGAAGTCAGTGTCATAAAGTTGGTCACAATAATACCATATTTGTCTTAATTTCTTTCATTAATTATAATAATTTTTAAACTTTCAAAATTTATTTTATTATTTTTTTTAATTTTTAATTTTGTTTATTTATTTGAGAGAGAGAGAATGAGAGATAGAGAGCACGAGAGGGAAGAGGGTCAGAGGGAGAAGCAGACTCCCCACCGAGCGGGGAGCCCGACGCGGGACTCGATCCCGGGACTCCAGGATCACGACCCGAGCCGAAGGCAGTCGCCTAACCAACTGAGCCACCCAGGCGCCCTAAACTTTCAAAATTTAAACCATCTCTTGGAGTTAGACATTCTGCTAATTTACTACATATTTTATGTAAAATACTTTTTATTCATCTTAAGTATACCCCTTTAAAGATTCTTAAACAGATCTATAGCTACACTAACCATACTTTCGTGGACGAATATCAAATCCCCTTGTAGCTTTTATATTTTGAGAGCCCATGTAGGAGAGTTAGAAAGATAAGGACTTAGGGATGAGTCTAATCTGAGTTTGAATCACAGGAGCACTTCTAACTAGCTATGTCACCTTTGATAAGTTAGTTAATTACTCAGATCCTTAGAGTCTTCACTAGTGAAAATATGTATCTGTTTTTCATGGTAGTTGTGACTGTAAATGAAATGATATAGGAGAAAACATTTTGCACAGTGCCACAGAGTGCACCATCAACAAACACTAATCTCTTTCCTTCCTTATTCTTCAGAGGATGGGTTGAAATCTTTTGGCTGTGCCTGTGTGAATAGAACCCCTCTACAAGTCCATATGAACTTAATGACAAAGCAATCCATTGTGCAACATTCGTAAGAGATTGCTTTGTTTCAGAAGGTTGCACTCAAAAATAAATTATATGTATGTCATCTTTTCCCTCATATAATGATATTACTTGATAACTGGGGAAAATGGACCCTACAAATACTATCTATCAGTTAAGTCCTTATTGACTTTTACTTTGAGCGGCCATTCTTTCAAACTGATCCCTTCAGCTGAGTTAAAAACCTTCAGTCAGTTAAACTGTTGGCTAATGCATTAATTCATTGTAAGATATTAGGCAAGTGGTGCCTAGGTGGCTCAGGTGGTTAAGGTTGATTTCTGCTTAGGTCATGATCTCAGAGTCATGAGATCGAGTTCCGCTTTGGGATCCACACCATGCAGGGAGCCTGCTTAAGATTTCTCTCTCTCTGTGTCCCTCCTCCTCTCTCAAAAAAACATATAAATAAATAAATATAAAAAGCATATTGTAAGATACCAGGCAAGAGAATCAGAGAGTATCTCCTTTTTTTTCCTCATCTGAAAAATGGGGCTATTTGTACCTAGATAGAAGTTTGAGGGATAACATTAAATAATGTATGTGTAAGTACTGGATAAACATGAAGATTTATACTAATTTCTGGCAAATTCTAATTAAAACATCCGTTTAGAGTGATTTTTGTCTTGTTTTGTTTTCTAATTTAAAGGAACTGGCTTTCTTCATAAAACAAAGCTAAGAAGGCAGATTGACAATATATATAGAAATGTTATGTATTTGTATGGATGCACAAAGATTTTAAAGTTTACTATTAAAGCTATGTTATTAAAACATATCTGAGCAGGTGTAGCATAGAAATTTTATAGTTCCAGGGTGTTAAATTATTTTCTCCATAGAAACCAGTTAGTCCATCTGTGTAAGTTTATTTTCTACTTTTCTCTCAAAAAGAGTGCCAACAAGAGCTGTCATTGCAGTGGGGGTTCAGATCATAGTTCCCACACACAGGCTAATGGCAGGACCCACTTCATTCAAGCCATTTGTTCTTTCTGCTTTAGTTTCAGTTCTGCATCTGCACACGTTAGACACGGCTGCTTGAATAAGCTTTCTCAAACACTGCTTGAATTCCCCAGACTATGGAAGCCAATTTCCTGCTTGTATTTTCTTGGCTTTGAAAGTTATTAAAATGCCTATTAGATGCTACCCAGAGTTAACAAATTCTTTACCAGGAGCCTTGCACATGGTTTGTCTATTTCAGTTCTACCAGGAGGTCTCAGTGATACTTCTCAGTTCCTGGCCACAAGAGCGAGCTCAGGCAGTCAGGTGTTTCAGAGGTGAGCCACATGATCAGAAATTCATATGTGTGTCAGTGACATAAATTTCCTTTAAAAACATTAGTAAAATTTAGCCTATTAGCTGTTTGAAAATTAACAAGATGTTGGTGGCAGAAAGAGGCCAATAAATTGGATCTGTCAAAAACCGTTAATTCTGTGGGGTTTCCGAAGAGATGAGCTGCATATCCAGGCAAAGTGGAGTAAACAGCTGTAGTATGCTGCAGGAACTGAATGGCAGTTCTAAAAGAATATGTTTTACACTCTGAAACTATCTGGACATTTTGAATGTACTAATCAGATGAATACACTGTCATTTCAGATTTACAATGTCAAGTAGAGGCACTTGGGCTAAACCTTCAGAAGGCAGTGACCAAGATTGACAACTATAAAGCAAAGCTCATGTAAGATGGTAAACATTGAACAACCTGTAGATTTTAGAAAGCCTCTCCCACCCTTACCATCTGTTCTCTATGACTCTTTTGGCAGTGATTTCATTGTGTGAGTGTGGTCTGCTTTTCTCAGGAACTTTTCTGGCCTGTCTTGTATATTAAAGGACATGTAAATATTTTTAAATACATAAAATGTTTCTTTCACTCAATAAGAAACTTAACCTATTCATGTATTAAAGCTTTCCCTGGTTGTTCAAGTATAACTCAATGTGAAATATTCTGATTTTTTTTTTCTCTTAATGTGTCTCTTTATTATCCATCCAGAAGAAACAACTTTGAAGTTGTTTCTTAAAATTACCAATTTTAAGTTCAAAACGAGAGTATCTTTGAAAAAGTATCTTTGAGTATCTTTGAAATGCTGGAGTACTTACGCTTTATACAAGGAAGAAAGAAAATATTGGAAAACAAATGACAAGAAAATGCCCTTGTAAAATATCCAGAGCACTATTGCTTTTAGAAATGAATTTACTTCAGAAGTTTCAAAAATTACTTTATGGTATAAATATCATACATCTATAATTATAATACTAAAATAGAATTTATATAATCTTTGAAAAATAAATTTTTATTTTGTGGTATATAATCTGGTAGCTCTGGTTTTCAGTTCCTATATTTTGGAAGAATGAACCTCACAAGAAATATAAATATTTAGAATGCTTAGCAACCAAATGTTGTGTTGACCATGAACTACTCCTAAGAACAATGTGTTTAATAAAATTCTTAACAGTGCAAGGAAGAACAAATTCCAAAAATGCCCTACCAAATTAATGTATACTTGAATTATTTGTAGCAAAATAATTTGTCTTTTAAAAACAAAAGAAAGCAAATATTCAAGCTTTACAAAACTGTGGTTAATAGTACAGTAAATACAGTAATTCAACCATCTGTGTATAATGGCTAAGGTTGAGGGAATGAGTGGACAGGGGGTCCTTGGTTGACTCACTGGGCCCAGGAAGTAACTTTCTGGATGAAAACAAGCATGAAAGAGAGAAGCAAAATGGTGATTACCCCCCCTCCCAAAAAACCCATTGTTCCCCACCCTCTAGTAACATTAGGGAGGGCTTTGGCCATATGGACCTCTCATGTGGAGGGCAACCTAATCAGGCCACGGCGACTCTGTGACTTTGGCTTCTTAGATCTCAATAAGTGACAAAGGCACATTCTAGGAATAGAGGAGTAGGGCTGGTACTGACTAAACTAAAAAGGGAATTTGTGGATCCACCAAGACTTATCATATGTAGTGGAGTCCTGGCAAGTTAGGAGAGAGGCTAACCACAGAAATAAGCATTCTGAGGAAAAAGAATAAAGCTCATTGGTTGTGACATGAATTGATTTTTCACTTGATAAATTGGCACAGAATTTTCTATATATACAGGGAACATTCCCATTTAATATTAACATAGTTTGTGGTATTTTTTATTAAATATATATATATATTTTAAAGATTTTATTTATTTGACACAGAGAAGGAGATACAGAGCGTGCACAAGCAGGGGGAGCAGCAGGCAGAGGGAGAGGGAGAAGCAGGCTCCCTGCTAAGCAGGGAGCCCCATGTGGGGCTCGATCCTAGGACCCTAGGATCATGACCCAAGCCAAAGGCAGATGCTCAAGCGACTGAGCCACCCAGGCTCCCCATTATTAATTATATTTTTAACATAATTTATAATGTAAATACTGAGAAATGACAGGAGTCAGAATAGATTGGAGATGGAGTGAGAAATACCACCTCACTAAAGTCCATCGAACAAATTAGCTGGAGGAAATGCTTTTGTTTCAGTTTATAAAACTGTTGCTTCCTGCCCTATATAAGAACTTCTTAAAATTAGAAAATGGGCAGAGTATCCATTTTTAGAAAACTGAGTTATGAAAGAACTACTAAGTCTCTTGTGATTACGAGATGGTACCACATCCAAATGGAACCACCCAGAGACAGGAAGCGCCTGTTTTTCTGGTATCTCTTTAGAAATGAGGAAAAAATGTCCCAGAAGCCACTAAACAGCCCTCTCTTTACATCTCTTTGGCTGAAACCCTTTACATACCCTCTCCTAAATGAATCACTGGCGAGGGGAAAAAGACTACCACAATTAGTTTAGACCAAGTAGGATTATGATAATGGGGCTCCGATGGCCAGGAAGAAAGCTGTAGTGTATGTCGAGAAGGTAACCAGTATTTTTGTGTGTGGTGTAAGGAAATGGTCCAGTTTCATTCTTCTGCATGTGGCTGTCCAATTTTCCCAACACCATTCATTGAAGAGACTGTCTTTTTGCCATTGGACATTCTTTCCTGCTTTGTCAAAGATTAGTTGACCATAGAGTTGAGGTTTCATTTCTGGGCTCTCTATTCTGTTCCATTGATCTATGTGTCTGTTTTTGTGCCAGTACCATACTGTCTTGATGATGACAGCTTTGTAATAGAGCTGGAATTGTGATGCCGCTGGCTTTGCTTTTCTTTTTCAACATTCCTCTGGCTATTTGGGGTCTTTTCTGGTTCCATACAAATTTTAGGATTATTTGATCCATTTCTTTGAAAAAAGTGGATGGTATTATGATGGGGATTGCATTGAATGTGTAGATTGCTCTAGGTAGCATTGACATCTTCACAATGTTTGTTCTTCCAATCCATGAGCATGGAACGTTTTTCCATTTCTTTGTGTCTTCCTCAATTTCTTTCATGAGTATTTTATAGTTTTCTGAGTACAGATCCTTTGGCTCTTTGATTAGATTAATTCCTAGGTATCTTATGGTTTTGGGTGCAATTGTAAATGGGATCGACTCCTTAATTTCTCGCTCTTCTGTCTTGTTGTTGGTGTATAGGAATGCCACTGATTTCTGTGCATTGATTTTATATCCTGCCACTTTAGTGAATTCCTGTATGAGTTCTAGCAGTTTTGGGGTGGAGTCTTTTGCGTTTTCCACATAAAGTATCATATCATCTGCAAAGAGTGAGAGTTTGACTTCCTCTTTGCCAATTTGGATGCCTTTGATTTCTTTTTGTTGTCTGATTGCTGTGGCTAGGACTTCTAATACTGTGTGGAATAGCAGTGGTGATAGTGGACATCCCTGCCACGTTCCTGACCTTAGGGGAAAAGCTCTCAGTCTTTCCCCATTGAGAATGATATTCGCTGTAGGTTTTTCATAGATGGCTTTTATGATATTGAGGTATGTACTCTCTATCCCTATACTCTGAAGAGTTTTGATCAAGAAAGGATGCTGTACTTTGTCAAATGCTTTTTCTGCATCTACTGAGAGGATCATATGATTCTTGTTCTTTCTTTTGTTAATATATTGTATCACACTGATTGATTTGCCGATGTTGAACCAACCTTACAGCCCAGGGATAAATCCCACTTGGTCGTGGTGAATAATCCTTTTAATGTACTGTTGGATCCTATTGGCTAGTATTTTGGTGAGAATTTTTGCATCCATGTTCATCAAGGATATTGGTCTGTAGTTCTCCTTTCTGATGGGGTCTTTGTCTGGTTTGGGGATCAAGGTAATGGTGGCCTCATAAAATGAGTTTGGAAGTTTTCCTTCCATTTCTATTTTTTGGAACAGTTTCAGGAGAATAGGTATTAATTCTTCTTTAAATGTTTGGTAGAATTCCCCTGGGAAGCCATCTGGCCCTGGGCTTTTGTTTGTTGGGAGATTTTTGATGACTGCTTCAATTTCCTTAGTGGTTATAGGTCTGTTCAGGTTTTCTATTTCTTCCTGGTTCAATTTTGGTAGTTGATACATCTCTAGGAATGCATCCATTTCTTCCAGGTTATCTAATTTGTTGGCATATAGTGGTTGAAAGAGCTAAATGTGAGACAGGAGTCCATCAAAATCCTAAAGGAGAACACAGGCAGCAACCTCTTCGACCTCAGCCACAGCAACTTCTTCCTAGAAACATCGCCAAAGGCACGGGAAGCAAGGGCAAAAATGAACTATTGGGATTTCATCAAGATAAAAAGCTTCTACAGCAAAGGAAATAGTCAACAAAACCAAAAGACAGCCGACAGAATG